ACACAGGTACAATACATAGTATTATAGACCTCTCACACATACAGGTACAATACATAATATTATAGACCTCTCACACATACAGGTACAATACATAATATTTAGACCTCTCACACACACACAGGTACAATACATAATATTATAGACCTCTCACACATACAGGTACAATACATAATATTATAGACCTCTCACACACACACAGGTACAATACATAATATTATAGACCTCTCACACATACAGGTACAATACATAATATTATAGACCTCTCACACACACAGGTACAATACATAATATTATAGACCTCTCACACACACAGGTACAATACATAATATTATAGACCTCTCACACACACAGGTACAATACATAATATTATAGACCTCTCACACACACAGGTACAATACATAATATTATAGACCTCTGACACATACAGGTACAATACATAATATTTCAGATAAACACTTAACTTCCACTTTCTGAGATACAGATCTACCACAAAATGCAACTTAATTAGTAAATATAAATTTTTTAATTTACAACAACACAAAAAAGGACAAAAGAATAGATTGCATTTATATCACTTTATGTATAAATGAAAGATCTAGTTTCAGATTTAAGATCAAGCGATAGTTACAAAAATCATTACAATTTAACATAATATTATACATATTATCAATACATTGTATGTTATTGTGTTTAGAAAAATCAGTTTTGTGAAACAGAATCAATCGGAGACAATAATGGTTCAGACATCAATTAATGTAAAATCTAATTTTCTTATATCACAATTGGTTTTTAATCTATTTTATCATATTGGATATAGCAGGACACTACAAATAAATATATTTATATATATATGTATATAAAGTCTATGTAAACAAACATTAAAAAAACAACACAACTTTAACCTGCAAGGTATATAACATACCACAGCTGTTTCAAAGTCAGATCAATCCATATTTAAGTTAGGAATTTTGAATTTTCATAAACAAAATTTCAAAATGAAAGAATAAAAAAAGTTTTCATCAGCATGGACTTGAACAGGGGTCAGTGTTTTTATAATGGTTCTGGTGAAATAATTTCATGTGGTATTTTAGTTTACTCTTCTTTTAACCTAAAGCTTACTAACTTTATACTTCAAAGGAATAACTTATATACAAATCAAAGGTTTATTACAAGACTTGATGGCTTTCAACCTCAGTGAAACTTGTAACCGATGAAAATATCATGACTCAAGAAACCTTGGTTGTGTTAAACATGTCAGGTGTTTTATCAATCAAATATATGAGCTTGATTGTAGAAGATCAAGTTTTAAAAATAAGTGATTTGTGACCAAGAAACCATTGGTGTAATGTATGGCCGAAATTTAGTCATAAAATGCCTCAGCTAAAGTACAGGTGTAAAACAATTCCTGTCTAATTAAAATAGAACAAGTGAAGAGTACCACATGTTCCGATCATAAAAATTATCAAAATCTCCAAATAAAACAAAAAAATAAAATTAATATCAGGTGCAAAAATTGTCACAGTACACTCTTTGAATCTTAAATTACTGTACAGCCGGTTAGTTCTTCTTTTTCTTGGTACATTAAATTCAGTCCATGAAATAATGATGTGTATCAAATGTCATTTTATATCCATGTTGCGAAATTCTAATTCGTTAAGATAAAATTTTATTGTTTTAAAAGAAATTCGTTAAAACTTTGACATGTAAAAATTACCAGCTCTTCAGTAATTTAGGTTAGACAAATGACACTTGGTTTACAGTTCTTCAACAAAATATTTTTCTAACAATATGTGTTTGAGAATCCCTTTATCCCTCATCATGGTCTGATGACCACAAAGTCAATATGTTGTCAGAACGAAAAAAAAAAAAAAAAGGATAACAACCAAAACAGTTAATAAGAACTTCAACCTGAGATCATTACTAACATACCACACATAAAGTGTATCACATACACTAATATCAAGGCTTTTATACATGTTTCTGGGATGAAAAAAGAAGACAAAATAAAAAAAAAACAAGCGTTCCTCGGAACTGTATGTGTCGCCTGCATAAAGTGTCACGGTCACCTAGAAATCGAACTGGATGTGCAACGTTCAACTATAAAGATGTAATACCAAATTTCATTTCTATAACTAGTGGCATAAAGGGAAAACTGCGCAAAGCAATATTCCTGAGAATTTTCCAAGTTCAAAGGGACATATCACTGCCAAGAAAAGTTACAGACTGCCAAGAAGGGAACTCGGTGTGTAACTTTTGACCAAGAACTCATATACAAAATTGCATTTTGGTAACTCGAAGCATAACCAAGAAAATTCCAGAAAACAATATTCCCAAAGAATTTGAGTTCAAAGGGGCATAACTCTGCCAAGAAGGGTTACAGACAGCTGGATATCGAACTTAATCTGAACCCTTCCAACAAAGTGATCCCTCAGTGTCTGCCAGCTCTGCAAGCGACACAAAAAAACAACAACAACACCAAAGTAGTTATGAAAAACAATATACAAACATTTGGGGGTCAGACTCATTATTGATACAAAATTGATCCCCCTTTCACCAAAGGATGCTTCAGGTCAAATTGGGACAGATCATAGCATTCCTACAGAATAAAAAGATTTTAAAAATCTGCTCTATTTCCCTGTATGGGGCAAACCCCTCATGCCTCAAGGAACCGAGATCCATCATTTCAAAAAAAAAAAAAAAATTTGTTCATACAAAATTTTGCAGGATAATAAGGATTTTAAAAATCTGCTCTATTTCTCTGTATGGACCAAACCCCTCCCTGCCTCAAAGGATCAAGACCCACCATTTAAACAAAACTGAGAGCCATCGTTTATACAAAATTCTACAGAAAAATAAGGATATTAAAAATCTGTTTTATTTCCATGTATGGGCCAAACCCCTCCTGCCTTAAGGGACCAAGACCCACCATTTAAACAGTGCGGAGTCCTCTTCACCTGACAATGCTTCAGACCAAATTTATACAAAATCCAATCAATTTAACAGAAGAGAAAGGATTTTAAATAATTTACTAATTTTCCCTTTTAGGCCGCGCCCCTCAGGCCAAAGAGGGAGACTCACTGTTTATTCAAATTGAGGACCTTCATTTAAGGCTGCCTCTGACCAAAATTAGTGAAAATGTGCTCTGTTGTTCCAGACTAGTAGCAAATTTTGAGAAAAGTAGATGGCAGACAGATGCAACAGTATACCATAACCTGACTTGGTCCATCAGGACAGGTGACATAAAAACACTGTCACACAATAATCATCGTTTTTATAAACTCACACAACGGATACCTAGCTAGCACCATCTAATGGGATGTTAAACTGGAAATCACATTGTCATTATTGATAACTCTGTATTTTGTTGTTAAAGGCTGGGTGATTAATCCAATATCAGAAGACATTTTTGAAACCTTGCCAGGATAATAATCACTAAATCTTACTCTATAAAAAATAATGTTATCTATCAGTAATATCACATCCTGATATCAGACGTTTAAATTGTCAATTATCAACCCATCACCATGGAGACAATGGGCAATGTTCTGCCTAGTAACCCTGTGTACACAGACATCTGAGTCAGTTGTATTTAAAAAGGCAAGGGAAGGAACATTGTGGTTGATTTGTAACATCCACATCAAGTGTGGGACAGCACTAATAACACCTCCAGGGTCTGTTCCTTACATGGTAGATAGTGGTGTACAACACTGAACTGATAACAGGGTCTGTTCCTTACATTGTAGACAGTGGTGTACAACACTGAACTGATAACAGGGTCTGTTCCTTACATTGTAGACAGTGGTGTACAACACTGAACTGATAACAGGGTCTGTTCCTTACATTGTAGACAGTGGTGTACAACACTGAACTGATAACAGGGTCTGTTCCTTACATTGTAGACAGTGGTGTACAACACTGAACTGATAACACCTCCAGGGTCTGTTCCTTACATGGCAGACAGTGGTGTACAACACTGAACTGATAACAGGGTCTGTTCCTTACATGGTAGACAGTGGTGTACAACACTGAACTGATAACACACCCAGGGTCAATTCCTTACATGGTAGACAGTGGTGTACAACACTGAACTGATAACACCTCCAGGGTCTGTTCCTTACATGGCAGACAGTGGTGTACAACACTGAACTGATAACAGGGTCTGTTCCTTACATTGTAGACAGTGGTGTACAACACTGAACTGATAACAGGGTCTGTTCCTTACATTGTAGACAGTGGTGTACAACACTGAACTGATAACAGGGTCTGCTCCTTACATTGTAGACAGTGGTGTACAACACTGAACTGATAACACACCCAGGGTCAATTCCTTACATGGTAGACAGTGGTGTACAACACTGAACTGATAACACCTCCAGGGTCTGTTCCTTACATGGTAGACAGTGGTGTATAACACTGAACTGATAACAGGGTCTGTTCCTTACATGGTAGACAGTGGTGTATAATACTGAACTGATAACAGGGTCTGTTCCTTACATGGTAGACAGTGGTGTACAACACTGAACTGATAACAGGGTCTGTTCCTTACATGGTAGACAGTGGTGTACAACACTGAACTGATAACACCTCCAGGGTCTGTTCCTTACATGGCAGACAGTGGTGTACAACACTGAACTGATAACACCTCCAGGGTCTGTTCCTTACATGGCAGACAGTGATGTACAACACTGAACTGATAACACCTCCAGGGTCTATTCCTTACATGGTAGATAGTGGTGTACAACACTGAACTGATAACACCTCCAGGGTCTATTCCTTACATGGTAGATAGTGGTGTATAACACTGAACTGATAACACCTCCAGGGTCTATTCCTTACATGTTAGATAGTGGTGTATAACACTGAACTGATAACACCTCCAGGGTCTGTTCCTTACATGGCAGACAGTGATGTACAACACTGAACTGATAACACCTCCAGGGTCTGTTCCTTACATGGCAGACAGTGGTGTACAACACTGAACTGATAACAGGGTCTGTTCCTTACATGGTAGATAGTGGTGTACAACACTGAACTGATAACAGGGTCTGTTCCTTACATGGCAGACAGTGTGTACACAAGAGTATGGCATACAGAGTAACAAGTGTAAACCCTGAAAAATGGAAACAAAAGTCAAGCACTTGTGAAATGTAGGGAAACAAAGTCAATCAAAGACCAAAGATATAGACAAGGGGTCAACCATAGGTCAAACATAGAGACACAGGGTCAATTACAGGTCAAACATAGAGACACAGGGTCAAACACAGGTTAAATATAGAGACACAGGGTCAATTACAGGTCAATCATAGAGACACAGGGTCAAACACAGGTTAAATATAGAGACACAGGGTCAATTTCAGCTCAAACATAGACACAGGGTCAATTACAGGTCAATCATAGAGACACAGGGTCAAACACAGGTTAAATATAGAGACACAGGGTCAATTACAGGTCAATCATAGAGACACAGGGTCAACCACAGGTTAAATATAGAGACAGGGTCAATCACAGGTCAAACATAAACACAGGGTCAGAGATGAGCCAGGGGCAATCACAGGGACACAGGGTCAAATAAAGTTCAAACATTGAGACAGTGCAGCATCCTGGTCTCGAGATATTTTATTTTTTATTAATGAAGGTGTTGACATTTGACTGATCTTTCCATGGTATTCACAATTAAAGCTCAAATCAGTCAAGAATATGGCAGATAGAGTAAAAGCAAGAGAGATGAACAAGAAAAATGTCCACTAAAATTGTGGACAAACTCTCCTTATATCAACAGGAGAAGACAGCAATAAAATAATTTAGCAGTTATTTACCAAATTTCTGAAAGATACTGAAATCTATGTATCAGAACTAATATATAGCATACCCTGGAAGTAGTCACTCTTGCCGTCCTGGAACGTATAGTTGATAACAATCACCGAGAAGACAACAGACCATAAATGGATGTCATTGAACAGGATCAGGAATCCGAATGGCTGTCAAAAAAATAGACCAGGTAAACAGGAACATTGTTAGATATCATACAGAATATAAACAACTATCAAATAAAACAATTAGGACCAGGTATACAGACAGTAAGACTACTTACCTGTATAAGGTTGATGAGGACCAGGTATACAGGGACACAGACAGTAAGACTATACTTACCTGTATGAGGTTGATGAGGACCAGGTATACAGGGACACAGACAGTAAGACTATACTTACCTGTATGAGGTTGATGAGGACCAGGTATACAGGGACACAGACAGTAAGACTATACTTACCTGTATGAGGTTGATGAGGACCAGGTATACAGGGACACAGACAGTAAGACTATACTTACCTGTATGAGGTTGATGAGGACCAGGTAAGACTACTTACCTGGGGTTGACACAGACAGTAAGACTATACTTACCTGTATGAGGTTGATGAGGACCAGGTATACAGACAGTAAGACTACTTACCTGTATGAGGTTGATGAGGACCAGGTATACAGACAGTAAGACTATACTTACCTGTATGAGGTTGATGAGGACCAGGTATACAGGGACACAGACAGTAAGACTATACTTACCTGTATGAGGTTGATGAGGACCAGGTATACAGGGACACAGACAGTAAGACTATACTTACCTGTATGAGGTTGATGAGGACCAGGTATACAGACAGTAAGACTACTTACCTGTATGAGGTTGATGAGGACCAGGTATACAGGGACACAGACAGTAAGACTATACTTACCTGTATGAGGTTGATGAGGACCAGGTATACAGGGACACAGACAGTAAGACTATACTTACCTGTATGAGGTTGATGAGGACCAGGTATACAGGGACACAGACAGTAAGACTATACTTACCTGTATGAGGTTGATGAGGACCAGGTATACAGGGACACAGACAGTAAGACTATACTTACCTGTATGAGGTTGATGAGGACCAGGTATACAGGGACACAGACAGTAAGACTATACTTACCTGTATAGGTTGATGAGGACCAGGTATACAGACACAGACAGTAAGACTATACTTACCTGTATGAGGTTGATGAGGACCAGGTATACAGGGACACAGACAGTAAGACTATACTTACCTGTATGAGGTTGATGAGGACCAGGTATACAGGGACACAGACAGTAAGACTATACTTACCTGTATGAGGTTGATGAGGACCAGGTATACAGGGACACAGACAGTAAGACTATACTTACCTGTATGAGGTTGATGAGGACCAGGTATACAGACAGTAAGACTATACTTACCTGTATGAGGTTGATGAGGACCAGGTATACAGACAGTAAGACTATACTTACCTGTATGAGGTTGATGAGGACCAGGTATACAGGGACACAGACAGTAAGACTATACTTACCTGTATAAGGTTGATGAGGACCAGGTATACAGACAGTAAGACTATACTTACCTGTATAAGGTTGATGAGGACCAGGTATACAGGGACACAGACAGTAAGACTATACTTACCTGTATGAGGTTGATGAGGACCAGGTATACAGTATGGACACAGACAGTAAGACTATACTTACCTGTATGAGGTTGATGAGGACCAGGTATACAGACTAAGACTACTTACCTGTATGAGGTTGATGAGGACCAGGTATACAGGGACACAGACAGTAAGACTATACTTACCTGTATAAGGTTGATGAGGACCAGGTATACAGGGACACAGACAGTAAGACTATACTTACCTGTATGAGGTTGATGAGGACCAGGTATACAGGGACACAGACAGTAAGACTATACTTACCTGTATGAGGTTGATGAGGACCAGGTATACAGGGACACAGACAGTAAGACTATACTTACCTGTATGAGGTTGATGAGGACCAGGTATACAGGGACACAGACAGTAAGACTATACTTACCTGTATAAGGTTGATGAGGACCAGGTATACAGGGACACAGACAGTAAGACTATACTTACCTGTATGAGGTTGATGAGGACCAGGTATACAGGGACACAGACAGTAAGACTATACTTACCTGTATGAGGTTGATGAGGACCAGGTATACAGGGACACAGACAGTAAGACTATACTTACCTGTATGAGGTTGATGAGGACCAGGTATACAGGGACACAGACAGTAAGACTATACTTACCTGTATGAGGTTGATGAGGACCAGGTATACAGGGACACAGACAGTAAGACTATACTTACCTGTATAAGGTTGATGAGGACCAGGTATACAGGGACACAGACAGTAAGACTATACTTACCTGTATAAGGTTGATGAGGACCAGGTATACAGACAGTAAGACTATACTTACCTGTATAAGGTAGATGAGGACCAGGTATACAGGGACACAGACAGTAAGACTATACTTACCTGTATAAGGTAGATGAGGACCAGGTATACAGACAGTAAGACTATACTTACCTGTATGAGGTTGATGAGGACCAGGTATACAGGGACACAGACAGTAAGACTATACTTACCTGTATAAGGTTGATGAGGACCAGGTATACAGAGATACAGACAGTAAGACTATACTTACCTGTATGAGGTTGATGAGGACCAGGTATACAGGGACACAGACAGTAAGACTACTTACCTGTATAAGGTTGATGAGGACCAGGTATACAGGGACACAGACAGTAAGACTATACTTACCTGTATAAGGTTGATGAGGACCAGGTATACAGGGACACAGACAGTAAGACTATACTTACCTGTATAAGGTTGATGAGGACCAGGTATACAGGGACACAGACAGTAAGACTACCTGTATAAGGTTGATGAGGACACATACACAGTAAGTAAGACTATACTTACCTGTATAATGGTTGATGAGGACCAGGTATACAGGGACACAGACAGTAAGACTATACTTACCTGTATAAGGTTGATGAGGACCAGGTATACAGGGACACAGACAGTAAGACTATACTTACCTGTATAAGGTTGATGAGGACCAGGTATACAGAGACACAGACAGTAAGACTACTTACCTGTATAAGGTTGATGAGGACCAGGTATACAGGGACACAGACAGTAAGACTATACTTACCTGTATGAGGTTGATGAGGACCAGGTATACAGGGACACAGACAGTAAGACTATACTTACCTGTATGAGGTTGATGAGGACCAGGTATACAGGGACACAGACAGTAAGACTATACTTACCTGTATGAGGTTGATGAGGACCAGGTATACAGGGACACAGACAGTAAGACTATACTTACCTGTATGAGGTTGATGAGGACCAGGTATACAGACACAGTAAGACTATACTTACCTGTACAGGGGTTGATGAAGACCAGGTTACCTGTATAATGGTTGATGAGGACCAGGTATACATATATACAGACAGTAAGACTAATACTTACCCCAAATTACCTTAAGTATGCAAGGATGCCGTTGACTACTTCAGGAAGTTCTGGTACCAGGTATACAGGACACAGACAGTAAGACTATACTTACCTGTATAAGGTTGATGAGGACCAGGTATACAGGGACACAGACAGTAAGACTATACTTACCTGTATGAGGTAGATGAGGACCAGGTATACAGGGACACAGACAGTAAGACAATACTTACCTGTATAAGGTTGATGAGGACCACCTAAGACTATACTTACCTGTATATGTATAGGTTAAGACTATACTTACCTGATGAGGACCAAATGAGGTTGATGAGGACCAGGAGATACAGACAGTAAGACTATACTGTATCATAAAAAATATTCTGTAAGATGAGGACCAGTTTTACAGGCACACCAATTAAGACCTATATTTTTCAAAATAATTATTGACACACCTGATGTACTTTCACCTTTATTCTGTCTTTTTAAATATTACTCTGAATATATATGTATGTATCTTTACAATCCTGATAACCCCACTATGTTACATACCTCTGACACACCTGATGTTTATAACCCCACTAGGTTACATACCTCTGACACACCTGTTTATAATCCCACTATGTTACATACCTCTGACACACCTGATGTTTATAATCCCACTATAATGTTACATACCTAAATATATATAAACTGACACACCTGTTTATAACCCCACTTGTTACATTATAATCCCACTAGGTTACATACCTCTGACACACCTGTTTATAATCCCACTATGTTACATACCTCTGACACACCTGTTGTTTATAACCCCACTAGGTTACATACCTCTGACACACCTGTTGTTTATAATCCCACTAGGTTACATACCTCTGACACACCTTACATACCTCTGACACACCTGATGTTTATAATCCCACTATGTTACACACCTCTGACACACCTGATGTTTATAATCCCACTATGTTACATACCTCTGACACACCTGTTGTTTATAATCCCACTATGTTACATACCTCTGACACACCTGTTGTTTATAATCCCACTATGTTACATACCTCTGACACACCTGTTGTTTATAATCCCACTAGGTTACATACCTCTGACACACCTGTTGTTTATAATCCCACTAGGTTACATACCTCTGACACACCTGTTGTTTATAATCCCACTAGGTTACATACCTCTGACACACCTGTTGTTTATAATCCCACTAGGTTACATACCTCTGACACACCTGTTGTTTATAATCTCACTAGGTTACATACCTCTGACACACCTGTTGTTTATAATCCCACTAGGTTACATACCTCTGACACACCTGTTGTTTATAATCCCACTAGGTTACATACCTCTGACACACCTGTTGTTTATAATCCAACTAGGTTACATACCTCTGACACACCTGTTGTTTATAATCCCACTATGTTACATACCTCTGACACACCTGTTGTTTATAATCCCACTAGGTTACATACCTCTGACACACCTGTTGTTTATAATCCCACTATGTTACATACCTCTGACACACCTGTTGTTTATAATCCCACTAGGTTACATACCTCTGACACACCTGTTGTTTATAATCCCACTAGGTTACATACCTCTGACACACCTGTTGTTTATAATCCCACTAGGTTACATACCTCTGACACACCTGTTGTTTATAATCCCACTAGGTTACATACCTCTGACACACCTGTTGTTTATAATCCCACTAGGTTACATACCTCTGACACACCTGTTGTTTATAATCCCACTAGGTTACATACCTCTGACACACCTGTTGTTTATAATCCCACTAGGTTACATACCTCTGACACACCTGTTGTTTATAATCCCACTATGTTACATACCTCTGACACACCTGATGTTTATAATCCCACTAGGTTACATACCTCTGACACACCTGTTGTTTATAATCCCACTATGTTACATACCTCTGACACACCTGTTGTTTATAATCCCACTAGGTTACATACCTCTGACACACCTGTTGTTTATAATCCCACTAGGTTACATACCTCTGACACACCTGTTGTTTATAATCCCACTATGTTACATACCTCTGACACACCTGTTGTTTATAATCCCACTAGGTTACATACCTCTGACACACCTGTTGTTTATAATCCCACTAGGTTACATACCTCTGACACACCTGTTGTTTATAATCCCACTAGGTTACATACCTCTGACACACCTGATGTTTATAATCCCACTAGGTTACATACCTCTGACACACCTGTTGTTTATAATCCCACTAGGTTACATACCTCTGACACACCTGTTGTTTATAATCCCACTAGGTTACATACCTCTGACACACCTGTTGTTTATAATCCCACTACATACCTCTGACACACCTGTTGTTTATAATCCCACTAGGTTACATACCTCTGACACACCTGTTGTTTATAATCCCACTAGGTTACATACCTCTGACACACCTGTTGTTTATAATCCCACTATGTTACATACCTCTGACACACCTGATGTTTATAATCCCACTAGGTTACATACCTCTGACACACCTGTTGTTTATAATCCCACTATGTTACATACCTCTGACACACCTGTTGTTTATAATCCCACTATGTTACATACCTCTGACACACCTGTTGTTTATAATCCCACTATGTTACATACCTCTGACACACCTGTTGTTTATAATCCCACTATGTTACATACCTCTGACACACCTGTTGTTTATAATCCCACTAGGTTACATACCTCTGACACACCTGTTGTTTATAATCCCACTAGGTTACACACCTCTGACACACCTGTTGTTTATAATCCCACTAGGTTACATACCTCTGACACACCTGTTGTTTATAATCCCACTATGTTACATACCTCTGACACACCTGTTGTTTATAATCCCACCAGATTACATACCTCTGACATACCAGATGTTTATAATCCCAACAGGTTACATACCTCTGACACACCTGATGTTTATAATCACACTAGGTTACACACCTCTGACACACCTGATGTTTATAATCTGACATACCAGATGTTTATAATCCCAACAGGTTACATACCTCTGACACACCTGATGTTTATAATCACACTAGGTTACACACCTCTGACACACCTGATGTTTATAATCCCACGATGTAACATACCTCTGACACACCTGATGTTTATAATCCCACTAGGTTACATACCTCTGACACACCTGAACTTTGTATTAACACCTGGATGTTTTCTGTCACTAATTCAGCACAGAGTGCAATGAGTGCAGCACTGACCAGAAGAATGATAGCACTTTTTATCCTTGACCAAGAGGGTGTGCCATGCCTGGTACCTTAAAATGTTGAATGAAAATCCATGTTAAAAGAAACAGAAATCCTGAGTACAAGAATGTTTAATCAGTTTAATCAAATCTTGATATTGCTGATACTGTATATTATGTAATCCTAAATTTGGAGACTCCTTGTACATCAATATTTTAAGACACCTCAGTACTTCAGGGTTTTAAGACACCTCAGGTCTTCAGTGTTTTGAGACACCTCAGTACTTCAGGGTTTTAAGACACCTCAGTATTTCAGGGTTTTGAGACACCTCAGAACTTCAGGGTTTTGAGACACCTCAGTACTTCAGGGTTTTGAGACATCTCAGTATTTCAGTGTTTTAAAACACCTCAGTACTTCAGGGTTTTGAGACACCTCAGTACTTCAGTGTTTTGAGACACCTCAGTACTTCAGGGTTTAGTGACTCTTCAGTACTTCAGGGTTTTGCGACACCTCAGTACTTCAGTGTTTTGAGACACTTCAGTACTTCAGGGTTTTTAGACACCTCAGTACTTCAGTGTTTAGAGACACCTCAGTACTTCAGGGTTTTGAGACACCTCAGTACTTCAGGGTTTTGAGACACCTCAGTACTTCAGGGTTTTGAGACACCTCAGTGCTTCTGGGTTTAGTGACTCTTCATTACTTCAGGGTTTTTGAGACACCTCAGTACTTCAGGGTTTTGAGACACCTCAGTACTTCAGTGTTTAGAGACATCTCAGTACTTCAGGGTTTTGAGATACCTCAGTACTTCCGGGTTTTGAGACACCTCAGTGCTTCAGTGTTTTGAAACACCTCAGTACTTCAGGGTTTTGAGACACTTCAGTACTTCAGTGTTTTGAGACACCTCAGTACTTCAGGGTTTTGAGACACCTCAGTACTTCAGGGTTTTGAGACACCTCAGTACTTCAGTGTTTTAAAACACCTCAGTACTTCAGGGTTTTGAGACACCTCAGTACTTCAGGGTTTTGAGACACCTCAGTACTTCAGGGTTTTTAGACACCTCAGTACTTCAGGGTTTTTAGACACCTCAGTACTTCAGAGTTTAGTGACTCTTCATTACTTCAGGGTTTTGATACACCTCAGTACTTCACTGTTTTGAGACACTTCAGTACTTCGGGGTTTTGAGACTCCTCAGTACTTCAGATTTTTGAGACACCTCAGTACGTCAGGATTTTGAGACACCTCAGTATTGCAGGGTTCTGAGACACCTCAGTATTGCAGGGTTCTGAGACACCTCAGTACTTCAGGGTTTTGAGACACCTCAGTACTTCAGTGTTTTGAGACACCTAAGTACTGCAGGGTTTTGAGACTCCTCAGTACTTCAGTGTTTTGAGACCCTCAGTACTGCAGGGTTTTGAGACACCTCAGTACTTCACGGTTCTGAGACACCTCAGTACTTCAGGGTTTTGTGACAAAAAATAATTACCTCATTAATAATTGACATATTTCATGAAATTATTCCTTAAATGAAAATAAAAAGCCAACTTCACATAAATGTTTGCAAGAGAATAAAACTACATCCTGACCAGTAAAGAAACAAGAGGCCTAGCGGCCTGAGATAAGCAATATTGAATATAAAGGTTAAAGGATAGTTATCAAATGTCATGAAACAGAAATTGTGACACTGAATATCATCAAAACTGTCATCCTATACTAATAGTTCTTACAAAGTTATTTCCAGTGGAAAATGACCAATGTTATGCTCAAAAATGCAAATTTTCTATGAAAATCACAGTAGTCTAAAAAAAAATCCTCACAAGGCAGAAATATGAGACTTATTTTGGTAATTAAAGCACCTTAAATCCACTGGGAATTGAACAAATTATGCTCAAAAATCTAGTTTTCCTTTTTTAACTATAGTAGACTTTACCCCTCCCCACAGGGAAATGTGAGACTCTGGGGCCATGAAATTCACAATTTTGGTAAAGCACCTTACGATGCTTCTATCCATTAAGAGTATTTGATTCTACCATATCTGGCTGTTGAGAAGAAGATTTTTTTAATTTAAGTCAATCTGATCCTTTTTGGCCCTGCTCACCAGCCCTTGTTGGGTGGGGACTGTATAATTCACAAGTTTGGTTCATCAAAGGCCCGGGCAGGTTTATACAAAATTTCATTGATGTCAAATCAGGAGTTTTTGAGAAGAAGTTGAAAATGTTAAATTGTTTATGGACACACAACACTGGACGAAGGTGATTGCAATAGGAAACCATGAGACTTTTGTTTCAGGTGACTAAATAATGTGAGTTGTTAGATGTTGTCTTTACTTTCTTTTTTTCAGAAAGACAAGACAGCAGGACATGATACATTTTTCCCTCAATAAGAGATGACACTGGTGAAGCTACACTAAACAAGGCCTACCTTTATGATGCTCCCCCTTCACTTCCACGTCACCAGAATGGTCATGCTGAGCAATGTTGGCAGAATGCGTCTTCAGTGCAAATATCATCCCTATGATGTAGGCTATGGGCAGTAACACTGAGCAAGCATACACCAGGGGCTTCACGTGTCCACGGTACAGTGAAGAATCGCCTTCTAGGCTAGACTGTAAGGGGAGATAATCATGTAAAACAGGCATACATCACAGGAGGAAGACAAATATTGACAGTAAAGGAAGAGATGGGGGGGGGGAGAGGGAATACATCAAGGAAATTGGGTAGAGTATTAACTGTGAACACAAGCATATAAGGGGATGTAATCTTTGCTTCTTAAACAGCAATACTTAAAGATGTGGATCTGTTTGGTGATGTATTATTACACATGTATATAACATTACAAACTGGATACTTACCACAGAGCTGCGACACTCACTGCAGTGGAGTGAGTAACTCGAGTTTGATGTAACATCAGTGGCATTCTCATCATACACATTTACACAGCTTTTACAGTGCATGTTACCAAAGATCTTTGCAAATATAGTTGGAGCATACACACCTACCGAAAAAAGTCCAATATTAGAAGGTATTGTAAACAAAAGGCCCAAGGGCCTTCATTGCTCACATGACTTATTTAGCTATTCAGCAATTTAATTTCAAATTTCAAATATGATAAATAATTTCAGATATAATTTTCATATTCGGTCCATTGTGGTCAAAAAGAACTTAGATTCATTTTCATAAAAAATTGCTTCAGACCACACTTGGACAATATCGTTGTATAAACAAAGTTTTTTTAAGAAGTTACATTCACCAAATTGGCGCAGGTTTACAAATATCTAAATGTATTGTCCATCATACAGTGATATGCAAATCTCCTTCTTTGACAAAGCAGAATTTTTAATTGATACTTTCCAAACATTGAATTTGTCTGATAAATTTGAAAATCTTATGAACGAACAGCAACTAGGTATATCTGATGATAAACACAGTGCTAAATCTTTTTGTCTACTCTTTGACAGTGTACGTTCCCAGATCAGTATTCTTTATGAATTGTAATAACACATTACATAGTTGTTACTGTACCTCCAACTGCTACAAACAACAGAAGGGCGGTAACATTGGCTGCCCGGGGGTTGAATCGCTGGGAGTGGTATTTGATTCCTCCAACAACCATACAGATTCCCTACAACGATGCAAACACACAACTAATACAAAATACAAAACTTTCCTTAGGTATCAGGGGGCACAACCTCCCACAAATGATGATAATTCTTCAGGGAACTGCCGTAGATACAAAATGGATACAGATTCTTCACCAACAAAGGGTTGAATGTATGTCGAGAATGAAGACAACACGAACAGCTCCTTCCCAATTCACGAATTCGTTTTTTTATTGTCTTCACTCTCGACCTACATTTCATTTGGTATGTACACCTATACACGTCTGATTAACTTGGGCAATGATGACACAGATATACTATCTAAACTGATTAATCAATTAATAATCAAAATTATTAATAGATTGGAATTTTATAGTTATCAGTGACTATTTTACAATCATATCTGACCACCAGAACTACACTAGACTTAAGTGTAATGATATCCTTGCCCTATAGATGTTCAATCCTATATACATTAAAGACAGGACTCACCGGTATAAAGAGTAGACTGCCCACTATTGCACCTGAAATCCAAAAATACAAATTCAATTTTAATTTCTGTTGTTTTACTCACAATAGTCATATCAAATGTGAACTGGAGAAACCGTAATAAAGATAAACAATCTGATTGAATAGTTTGATTTAAAATCCATCAAATTTGATTTTTTTTGTTTGTTTTGCTGGATTTATTGACCCATGAACAATCAGGGTCACTTTGAGGTAAAAACTCTTTAAAGTAGCGGGTATATACCTCACTGAACAACATGCAGGAGGCTCATTACATGCCATGTGGTGCAATTAGAGTGAAGTGTCTTTTCCAAGGACACAACCTGGTCAGCACAGACTGGTGTGTTTCTCAGCTGCCAGAGGAACACAAACTATCATGGGAGGAGAATGTCTATTGACAGGATTTTCACCTAAGGTTATATAGGCATGCTGCTCTTCCCACTGAACTGTCACAACCCCTATCAATCATAGTTTCATAACTTCCAAAAACAAGCTTGTTTCATGGCATAGTCCATGAAGAAGGCATTCTGGTAAGGCAAAGTGGGAAAATGTCACTATTTATCAATATCCATCAATCCAATTATAGATATTAGAATTATTTATGTATATTCAGATTTTCTACGGATATCTATATATAAATTGTGACTTTTTTTCTCCACTTTTGCTTGTCATATCATGGTGCAGAAGGCTTCAGAACTTGATATCATAATATTCAAAGCAAGCTGAATGCCTCTAAGGCCAGCTGCAGTTTTTGATTATCAAATTAGAAGCTGTTCAGAATTTTGGAAGCATGTGATTCTATCAATGCTTAAAATGAATGTTGTCCATGTTACCAAGATTAATTTTAGGACTTCATTCCCATGATCTTTAAACTAAACACCATCAATTTTTTTGGTCTTTGATTATTTCATCTTTCACTACAGCATTACAAACAAGTGTGAATAATTGACAAGAGTAAGACAAACCTGTGAGAGAAGACTTGACCAGGATACCTGACAACAGTGAGACTTACCTGTGAGAGAAGACTTGACCAGGATACCTGACAAGTAAGACTTACCTGTCGGAGAAGACTTGACCAGGATACCTGACAACAGTAAGACTTACCTGTGAGAGAAGACTTGACCAGGATACCTGACAAGAGTAAGACAAACCTGTGAGAGAAGACTTGACCAGGATACCTGACAACAGTAAGACTTACCTGTGAGAGAAGACTTGACCAGGATACCTGACAACAGTTAGACTTACCTGTGGGAGAAGACTTGACCAGAATAGCTGACAACAGGAAGACTTACCTGTGAGAGAAGACTTGACCAGGATACCTGACAACAGCAAGGCTTACCTGTGAGAGAAGATTTGACCAGGATACCTGAAAACAGTAAGACTTACCTGTGAGAGAACACTTGACCAGGATACCTGACAACAGTAAGACTTACCTGTGGGAGAAGACTTGACCAGAATAACTGACAACAGTATGGCTTACCTGTGAGAGAAGACTTGACCAGGATACCTGACAAGTAAGACATACCTGTGAGAGAAGACTTGACCAGGATACCTGACAACAGTAAGACTTACCTGTGAGAGAAGCCTTGACCAGGATACCTGACAAGTAAGACATACCTGTGAGAGAAGACTTGACCAGGATACCTGACAACAGTAAGACTTACCTGTGAGAGAAGACTTGACCAGGATACCTGACAACAGTAAGTATTACCTGTGAGAGAAGACTTGACCAGGATACCTGACAACAGTAAGACTTACCTGTGAGAGAAGACTTGACCAGGATACCTGACAAGTAAGACATACCTGTGAGAGAAGACTTGACCAGGATACCTGACAACAGTAAGACTTACCTGTGAGAGAAGACTTGACCAGGATACCTGACAACAGTAAGACATACCTGTGAGAGAAGACTTGACCAGGATTCCTGACAACAGTAAGACTTACCTGTGAGAGAAGACTTGACCAGGATTCCTGACAACAGTAAGACTTACCTGTGAGAGAAGACTTGACCAGGATACCTGACAACAGTGAGACTTACCTGTGAGAGAAGACTTGACCTGGATACCTGACAACAGTAAGACTTACCTGTGAGAGAAGACTTGACCAGGATACCTGACAACAGTAAGACTTACCTATGAGAGAAGACTTGACCAGAATACCTGACAACAGTAAGACATACCTGTGAGAGAAGACTTGACCAGGATACCTGACAAGTAAGACTTACCTGTGAGAGAAGACTTGACCAGGATACCTGACAAGTAAGACATACCTGTGAGTATGTAAGTCTTACCTGTGAGAGAAGACTTGACCAGGATACCTGACAACAGTAAGACTTACCTGTGAGAGAAGACTTGACCAGAATAACTGACAACAGTATGGCTTACCTGTGAGAGAAGACTTGACCAGGATACCTGACAACAGTAAGACTTACCTGTGAGAGAAGACTTGACCAGGATACCTGACAAGTAAGACTTACCTGTGAGAGAAGACTTGACCAGGATTCCTGACAACAGTAAGACTTACCTGTGAGAGAAGACTTGACCAGGATACCTGACAACAGTGAGACTTACCTGTGAGAGAAGACTTGACCTGGATACCTGACAACAGTAAGACTTACCTGTGAGAGAAGACTTGACCAGGATACCTGACAACAGTAAGACTTACCTATGAGAGAAGACTTGACCAGGATACCTGACAACAGTAAGACTTACCTGTGAGAGAAGACTTGACCAGGATACCTGACAACAGTATGTCTTACCTGTGAGAGAAGACTTGACCAGGATTCCTGACAACGATAAGACTTACCTGTGAGAGAAGACTTGACCAGGATACCTGACAAGTAAGACTTACCTGTGAGAGAAGACTTGACCAGGATACCTGACAACAGTAAGACTTACCTGTGAGAGAAGACTTCACCAGTTCTACATAACAACCAGAACCTTCTTCACTCCCTTTAGACAGAGCCAGGACAAAAATTATTATTTCTACAACAGACCCAAAGGTGGCGTTCAGAACTGCTCCTATGGTAAAGGTACTCTGAGCAGCAATACTGAAAACAAAAGAACACTCACAGATAATACACCTTGTCACATTTATCACTTGTATCATTTGTAATACTTTATATTGTCAGTCATTGTAAACCTAAAACCACTGTGATAATACTTTACATTGTCCGTCATTGTAAACCTACAGCCACTGTGATAATACTTAACATTGTCAGTCATTGTAAACCTACAGCCACTGTATCATTGTAAACCTACAGCCACTGTATCGTTGTAAACCTACAGCCACTGTATCATTGTAAACCTACAGTCACCGTGATAATACTTAACATTGTCAGTCATTGTAAACCTATAGCCACTGTGATAATACTTAACATTGTCAGTCATTGTAAACCTACAGCCACTGTATCATTTTAAACCTACAGCCACTGTATCGTTGTAAACCTACAGCCACTGTGATAATACTTACATTGTCAGTCATTGTAAACCTACAGCCACTGTATCATTGTAAACCTACAGCCACTGTATCGTTGTAAACCTACAGCCACTGTGATAATACTTTACATTGTCAGTCATTGTAAACCTACAGCCACTGTATCATTGTAAACCTACAGCCACTGTGATAATACTTAACATTGTCCGTCATTGTAAACCTACAGCCACTGTATCATTGTAAACCTACAGCCACTGTATCGTTGTAAACCTACAGCCACTGTGATAATACTTTACATTGTCAGTCATTGTAAACCTACAGCCACTGTATCATTGTAAACCTACAGCCACTGTGATAATACTTAACATTGTCCGTCATTGTAAACCTACAGCCACTGTGATAATACTTAACATTGTCCGTCATTGTAAACCTACAGCCACTGTATCATTGTAAACCTACAGCCACTGTATCGTTGTAAACCTACAGCCACTGTGATAATACTTAACATTGTCCGTCATTGTAAACCTACAGCCACTGTATCATTGTAAACCTACAGCCACTGTATCGTTGTAAACCTACAGCCACTGTGATAATACTTTACATTGTCAGTCATTGTAAACCTACAGCCACTGTATCATTGTAAACCTACAGCCACTGTGATAATACTTAACATTGTCCGTCATTGTAAACCTACAGCCACTGTGATAATACTTAACATTGTCAGTCATTGTAAACCTACAGCGACTGTATCATTGTAAACCTACAGCCACTGTGATAATACTTTACATTGTCAGTCATTGTAAACCTACAGCCACTGTATCATTGTAAACCTACAGCCACTGTGATAATACTTAACATTGTCCGTCATTGTAAACCTACAGCCACTGTGATAATACTTAACATTGTCAGTCATTGTAAACCTACAGCCACTGTGATAATACATTACATTGTCAGTCATTGTAAACCTACAGCCACTGTGATAATACTTTACATTGTCAGTCATTGTAAACCTACAGCCACTGTATCATTGTAAACCTACAGCCACTGTATCATTGTAAACTTACAGCCACTGTGATAGTACATTACATTGTCCGTCATTGTAAACCTACAGCCACTGTGATAATACTTTACATTGTCAGTCATTGTAAACCTACAGCCACTGTGATAATACATTACATTGTCCGTCATTGTAAACTTACAGCCACTGTATCATTGTAAACCCACAGCCATTGTATCATTGTAAACTTACAGCCACTGTATCATTGTAAACTTACAGCCACTGTGATAATACTTTACATTGTCGGTCATTGTAAACCTACAGCCACTGTATCATTGTAAACTTACAGCCACTGTATCATTGTAAACTTACAGCCACTGTGATAATACTTTACATTGTCAGTCATTGTAAACCTACAGCCACTGTATCATTGTAAACCTACAGTCACTGTGATAATACTTTACATTGTCAGTCATTGTAAACCTACAGTCACTGTATCATTGTAAACCTACAGTCACTGTGATAATACTTTACATTGTCAGTCATTGTAAACCTACAGCCACTGTATCATCGTAAACTTACAGCCACTGTATCATTGTAAACCTACAGTCACTGTGATAATACTTAACATTGTCAGTCATTGTAAACCTACTGCCACTGTATCATTGTAAACTTACAGCCACTGTATCATTGTAAACCTACAGCCACTGTATCATTGTAAACCTACAGCCACCGTGATAATACTTTACATTGTCAGTCATTGTAAACCTACAGCCACTGTGATAATACTTAACATTGTCAGTCATTGTAAACCTACAGCCACTGTATCATTGTAAACTTACAGCCACTGTATCATTGTAAACCTACAGCCACTGTGATAATACTTTACATTGTCCGTCATTGTAAACCTACAGCCACTGTGATAATACTTTACATTGTCAGTCATTGTAAACCTACAGCCACTGTGATAATACATTACATTGTCAGTCATTGTAAACCTACAGCCACTGTATCATTGTAAACCTACAGCCACTGTGATAATGTTTGGTTTTGTTATCAATTCATTGTAGACAGTTGTCTTACTTCATTAGTTTTGCTATAATGACCCATTTATATTGTATATTTGTACATGTCCCACCATTAGATGTATCTACTGGGCAATCTGTGGTTGTAAAACAAACATTGGATCTTTGGGTCTTTACATGATCCTGCCCAGTAGTTCAGGAGTCATTCGTAACATGGTCTCAAATTTCCTTAATGAATTTTCAATAGGACTCAATGACAGCAATACTTAAATCCTGTATCTAATTTTTCTGCCCCAACAATTACCTGATAATTGCCAGACCGATGTAGTAGGTTAATGGTATGATGGCACACACTCCCAGAATACATTTCTGAAACAGACAAAAGGAAACATTTTGAAATCTCTGACAATTTGTTACATTTTCTATGTAACTGATTTTATTCCCAGTATTTCTAGCTTTAGCCATCTAGCCATAATTACTTTGTGAAAATAAAAATGAAAAATAACAATAATTTTAAGTTGTTTGAAAGTTCAACATAAGATCTGTAGAGTTATTACTGTGGTGCAGATAAGAGAACAAACATTAGTTTGGATGTGGAAGGAAAACCCACAGGAGAACACCCAAAAGGACAAACCCACAGGAGAACACCCAAAGGGACAAACCCACAGGAGAACACCCAAAGGGACAAACCCACAGGAGAACACCCAAAGGGGAAAACCCACAGGAGAACACCCAAAGGGGAAAACCCACAGGAGAACACCCAAAGGGACAAACCCACAAGGGAAAACCCAAAGGGACAAACCCACAAGGGAAAACCCAAAGGGACAAACCCACAGGAGAACACCCAAAGGGACAAACCCACAGGAGAACACCCAAAGGGACAAACCCACAGGAGAACACCCAAAGGGACAAACCCACAGGAGAACACCCAAAGGGACAAACCCACAGGAGAACACCCAAAGGGACAAACCCACAAGGGAAAACCCACAGGAGAACACCCAAAGGGACAAACCCACAAGGGAAAACCCACAGGAGAACACCCAAAGGGACAAACCCACAAGGGAAAACCCACAGGAGAACACCCAAAGGGACAAACCCACAGGAGAACACCCAAAGGAGAAAACCCACAAGGGAAAACCCAAAGGGACAAACCCACAAGGGAAAACCCAAAGGGACAAACCCACAAGGGAAAACCCAAAGGGACAAACCCACAAGGGAAAACCCAAAGGGACAAACCCACAAGGGAAAACCCAAAGGGACAAACCCACAAGGGAAAACCCAAAGGGACAAACCCACAAGGGAAAACCCAAAGGGACAAACCCACAGGAGAACACCCAAAGGGACAAACCCACAAGGGAAAACCCAAAGGGACAAACCCACAAGGGAAAACCCAAAGGGACAAACCCACAAGGGAAAACCCAAAGGAGAAAACCCACAGGAGAACAAACCCACAAGGGAAAACCCAAAGGAGAAGGAGAAACCCACAAGGGAAAACCCAAAGGGACAAACCCACACCCAAAGGGACAAACCCACAGGAGAACACCCAAAGGGACAAACCCACAAGGGAAAACCCAAAGGAGAAAACCCACAGGAGAACACCCAAAGGGACAAACCCACAAGGGAAAACCCAAAGGAGAAAACCCACAGGAGAACACCCAAAGGGACAAACCCACAAGGGGAAACCCACAGGAGAACACCCAAAGGGACAAACCCACAAGGGTAAACCCAAAGGAGAAAACCCACAGGAGAACACCCAAAGGGACAAACCCACAAGGGAAAACCCAAAGGAGAAAACCCACAGGAGAACACCCAAAGGGACAAACCCACAAGGGAAAACCCAAAGGAGAAAACCCACAGGAGAACACCCAAAGGGACAAACCCACAAGGGAAAACCCAAAGGGACAAACCCACAGGAGAAACCCAAAGGGACAAACCCACAGGAGAACACCCAGTGAGCCCAGTGGCGTCTGACACAGTAAAATAGTACTTACTGTGAGCCCAGTGGCCGTCTGACACAGTAAAATAGTACTTACTGTGAGCCCAGTGGCCGTCTGACACAGTAAAATAGTACTTACTGTGAGCCCAGTGGCCGTCACACAGTAAAATAGTACTTACTGTGAGCCCAGTGGCCGTCTGACACAGTAAAATAGTACTTACTGTGAGCCCAGTGGCCGTCTGACACAGTAAAGGGACACTGTGACCCAGTGGGAAAACCCAAAATAGTACTTACTGTGAGCCCAGTGGCCGTCTGACACAGTAAAATAGTACTTACTGTGAGCCCAGTGGCCGTCTGACACAGTAAAATAGTACTTACTGTGAGCCCAGTGGCCGTCTGACACAGTAAAATAGTACTTACTGTGAGCCCAGTGGCCGTCTGACACAGTAAAATAGTACTTACTGTGAGCCCAGTGGCCGTCTGACACAGTAAAATAGTACTTACTGTGAGCCCAGTGGCCGTCTGACACAGTAAAATAGTACTTACTGTGAGCCCAGTGGCCGTCTGACACAGTAAAATAGTACTTACTGTGACCCCAGTGGCCGTCTGACACAGTAAAATAGTACTTACTGTGACCCACGTGGTTGTATGATACAGTAAAACAGTACTTTCTGTGAGCCCAGTGGTTGTCTGATACAGTAAAACAGTACTTACTGTGACCCCAGTGGTCGTCTGATACAGTAAAACAGTACTTACTGTGACCCCAGTGGTCGTCTGATACAGTAAAACAGTACTTACTGTGACCCCAGTGGTCGTCTGAAACAGTAAAACAGTACTTACTGTGACCCCAGTGGTCGTCTGATACAGTAAAACAGTACTTACTGTGACCCCAGTGGTCGTCTGATACAGGAAAACAGTACTTATTGTGACCCCAGTGGTCGTCTGATACAGTAAAACAGTACTACTGTGACCCCAGTGGTCGTCTGATACAGTAAAACAGTACTTACTGTGACCCCAGTGGTCGTCTGATACAGTAAAACAGTACTTACTGTGACCCCAGTGGTCGTCTGATACAGTAAAACAGTACTTACTGTGACCCCAGAGGTCGTCTGATACAGTAAAACAGTACTTACTGTGACCCCAGTGGTCGTCTGATACAGTAAAACAGTACTTACTGTGACCCCAGTGGTCGTCTGATACAGTAAAACAGTACTTACTGTGACCCCAGTGGTCGTCTGATACAGTAAAATAGTACTTACTGTGACCCCAGTGGTCATCTGATACAGTAAAATAGTACTTACTGCGACCCCAGTGGTCGTCTGATACAGTAAAAATAGTACTTACTGTGACCCCAGTGGTATAGTACTTACAGTGACCCCAATGGTAGTCTGATACAGTAAAATAGTACTTACTGTAACCCCAGTGGTATAGTACTTACAGTGACCCCAGTGGTCGTCTGATACAGTAAAATAGTACTTACTGTGACCCCAGTGGTCATCTGATACAGTAAAATAGTACTTACTGTGACCCCAGTGGTCGTCTGATACAGTAAAATGGTACTTACTGTGACCTCAGTGGTCGTCTGATACAGTAAAATGGTACTTACTGTGACCTCAGTGGTCGTCTGATACAGTAAAATGGTACTTACTGTGACCCCAGTGGACATCTGATACAGTAAAACAGTACCTACTGTGACCCCAGTGGTCTTCTGAAACATTAAAACAGTACTTACTGTGACCCCAGTGGTCATCTGATACAGTAAAACAGTACTTACTGTGACCTCAGTGGTCATCTGATACAGTAAAATAGTACTTACTGTGACCCCAGTGATCGTCTGATACTGTAAAATAGTACTTACTGTGACCCCAGTGGTCATCTGATACAGTAAAACAGTACTTACTGTGACCCCAGTGGTCATCTGATACAGTAAAATAGTACTTACTGTGACCCCAGTGGTCATCTGATACAGTAAAATAGTACTTACTGTGACCCCAGTGGTCATCTGATACAGTAAAATAGTACTTACTGTGACCCCAGTGATCATCTGATACAGTAAAATAGTACTTACTGTGACCCCAGTGGTCATCTGATACAGTAAAATAGTACTTACTGTGACCCCAGTGTACTTACTGTGACCCCAGTGGTTATCTTATGCTCAGGGTCAGTATATCCTAAAGCTAAGGCAAGAATTACAAACACAAGTAAATCTGAATTAACTGTTAAGGGTGACACTATTTATAGATATATATATATGTATATAGGTAACAGTAATTGTTTATTATGAGTGACACTAGTAACAATAATTCATTATCACACAAATAATGGAAAAGGGAAAAATATATTCCAAGTATAAATATTTCTTAAAGAAACCTTAAAATTTGAACAGGAAACATAATGATGATGGAGACAGACAGAAATATCTGCCAATCTGTCTCCTTTGATTAACAGTATAAGGTGTAAGGATACTGAAGAGGATGATGTTCATGCCGTCCACGCTGTACTTGTAGTAGTAGAGATACACAGACTGGTGAGTATACATCAGAATTTCACTTTCCTGGTGGTCCTCCCTCTGTTATCAATGTCAAGGTCATCCTTATACATATACATCACAATCATCATCTATGTTCAGTTCATTCTACAAGTTTGGTTAAATTTGGTGAAATCTAATGAGTATGAAAATTGGTGTCATCAGATCTGACTATCTGCTAGAAATGATAGATGGTTTTATACATACCACATAACTGTAGTCTTCTACCTTTAGCTTCTGGGGAGGCAGGAACATTATCTGTGTGATGGCTTTAAAGTTCAGCTGAAAGCACAGGTCACAGTTTTACAATAAAACAAATACACTCATTTTGTGATTGGAATTTTAAGTTAAAGAAATAGTTGTCTATATTTTTCTACTTGACTTCAGTTCATCAAAACATTTAGTATTACAAACTGTTATTCAAGCATTCAAAACTTTGAGACAACAACCTAAATAAAACCCTAACAACCTAAATAAAACCCTTCCTAACAACCTAAATAAAACCCTTCCTAACAACCTAAATAAAACCCTTCCTAACAACCTAAATAAAACCCTTCCTAACAACCTAAATAAAACCCTTCCTAACAACCTAAATAATACCCTAACAACCTAAATAATACCCTTCCTAACAACCTAATTAAATCCCTAACAACCTAAATAAAACCCTTCCTAACAACCTAAATAATACCCTAACAACCTAAATAAAACCCTTCCTAACAACCTAAATAAAACCCTTCCTAACAACCTAAATAAAACCCTTCCTAACAACCTAAATAAAACCCTTCCTAACAACCCAAATAAAACCCTTACAACCTAAATAAAACCCTAACAACCTAAATAAAACCCTTCCTAACAACCTAAATAAAACCCTTCCTAACAACCTAAATAAAACCCTTCCTAACAACCTAAATAAAACCCTAACAACCTAAATAAAACCCTAACAACCTAAATAAAACCCTAACAACCTAAATAAAACCCTTCCTAACAACCTAAATAAAACCCTAACAACCTAAATAAAACCCTTCCTAACAACCTAAATAAAACCCTGACAACCTAAATAAAAATCCTAACAACCTAAATAAAACCCTTCCTAACAACCTAAATAAAACCCTTCCTAACAACCTAAATAAAACCCTAACAACCTAAATAAAACCCTAAATAAAACCCTAACAACCTAAATAAAACCCTTCCTAACAACCTAAATAAAACCCTAACAACCTAAATAAAACCCTTACTAACAACCTAAATAAAACCCTAACAACCTAAATAAAACCCTTCCTAACAACCTAAATAAAACCCTAACAACCTAAATAAAACCCTAACAACCTAAATAAAACCCTAACAACCTAAATAAAACCTTCCCTAACAACCTAAATAAAATCCTTCCTAACAACCTAAATAAAACCCTTCCTAACAACCTAAATAAAACCCTTCCTAACAACCTAAATAAAACCCTTCCTAACAACCTAAATAAAACCCTTCCTAACAACCTAAATAAAACCCTAACAACCTAAATAAAACCCTTCCTAACAACCTAAATAAAACCCTTCCTAACAACCTAAATAAAACCCTAACAACCTAAATAAAACCCTTCCTAACAACCTAAATAAAACCCTAACAACCTAAATAAAACCCTTCCTAACAACCTAAATAAAACCCTTCCTAACAACCTAAATAAAACCCTTCCTAACAACCTAAATAAAACCCTTCCTAACAACCTAAATAAAACCCTAACAACCTAAATAAAACCCTAACAACCTAAATAAAACCCTTCCTAACAACCTAAATAAAACCCTTCCTAACAACCTAAATAAAACCCTTCCTAACAACCTAAATAAAACCCTAACAACCTAAATAAAACCCTTCCTAACAACCTAAATAAAACCCTTCCTAACAACCTAAATAAAACCCTTCCTAACAACCTAAATAAAACCCTAACAACCTAAATAAAACCCTAACAACCTAAATAAAACCCTAACAAACTAAATAAAACCCTTCCTAACAACCTAAATAAAACCCTTCCGAACAACCTAAATAAAACCCTTCCTAACAACCTCAATAAAACCCTCCCTAACAACCTAAATAAAACCCTAACAACCTAAATAAAACCCTACCTAACAACCTAAATAAAACCCTAACAAACTAAATAAAAAAACCTAACAACCTAAATAAAACTTCCTAACTAACCTAAATAAAACCCTAACAACCTAAATAAAACCCTAACAACCTAAATAAAACCCTTCCTAACAACCTAAATAATACCCTTCCTAACAACCTAAATAAAACCCTTCCTAACAACCTAACAAACCTAAATAAAACCCTTCCTAACAACCTAAATAAAACCCTTCCTAACAACCTAAATAAAACCCTTCCTAACAACCTAAATAAAACCCTTCCTAACAACCTAAATAAAACCCTAACAACCTAAATAAAACCCTTCCTAACAACCTAAATAAAACCCTAACAACCTAAATAAAACCCTTCCTAACAACCTAAATAAAACCCTAACAACCTAAATAAAACCCTAACAACCTAAATAAAACCCTAACAACCTAAATAAAACCCTTCCTAACAACCTAAATAAAACCCTTCCTAACAACCTAAATAAAACCCTAACAACCTAAATAAAACCCTTCCTAACAACCTAAATAAAACCCTTCCTAACAACCTAAATAAAACCCTAACAACCTAAATAAAACCCTTCCTAACAACCTAAATAAAACCCTTCCTAACAACCTAAATAAAACCCTTCCTAACAACCTAAATAAAACCCTTCCTAACAACCTAAATAAAACCCTTCCTAACAACCTAAATAAAATCCTTCCTAACAACCTAAATAATACCCTTCCTAACAACCTAAATAAAACCCTTCCTAACAACCTAAATAAAACCCTTCCTAACAACCTAAATAAAACCCTTCCTAACAACCTAAATAAAACCTTTAACACACGAAATAAAAACCTAACAACCTAAATAAAACCCTTCCTAACAACCTAAATAAAACCCTAACAACCTAAATAAAACCCTAACAACCTAAATAAAACCCTTCCTAACAACCTAAATAAAACCCTTCCTAACAACCTAAATAAAACCCTTCCTAACAACCTAAATAAAACCCTAACAACCTAAATAAAACCCTAACAACCTAAATAAAACCCTTCCTAACAACCTAAATAAAACCCTTCCTAACAACCTAAATAAAACCCTTCCTAACAACCTAAATAAAACCCTTCATAACAACCTAAATAAAACCCTTCCTAACAACCTAAATAAAACCCTTCCTAACAACCTAAATAAAACCCTTCCTAACAACCTAAATAAAACCCTTCCTAACAACCTAAATAAAACCCTTCCTAACAACCTAAATAAAACCCTAACAACCTAAATAAAACCCTTCCTAACAACCTAAATAAAACCCTTCCTAACAACCTAAATAAAACCCTAACCTAACCCTTCCTAAATAAAACCCTTCCTAACAACCTAAATAAAACCCTTCCTAACAACCTAAATAAAACCCTTCCTAACAACCTAAATAATACCCTTCCTAACAACCTAAATAAAACCCTAACAACCTAAATAAAACCCTTCCTAACAACCTAAATAAAACCCTTCCTAACAACCTAAATAAAACCCTTCCTAACAACCTAAATAAAACCCTAACAACCTAAATAAAACCCTAACAACCTAAATAAAACCCTTCCTAACAACCTAAATAAAACCCTAACAACCTAAATAAAACCCTTCCTAACAACCTAAATAAAACCCTTCCTAACAACCTAAATAAAACCCTTCCTAACAACCTAAATAAAACCCTTCCTAACAACCTAAATAATACCCTAACAACCTAAATAAAATCCTTCCTAACAACCTAAATAAAACCCTTCCTAACAACCTAAATAAAACCCTTCCGAACAACCTAAATAAAACCCTAACACCCTAAATAAAACCCTTCCTAACAACCTAAATAAAACCCTTCCTAACAACCTAAATAAAACCCTTCCTAACAACCTAAATAAAACCCTTCCTAACAACCTAAATAAAACCCTTCCTAACAACCTAAATAAAACCCTAACAACCTAAATAAAACCCTTCCTAACAACCTAAATAAAACCCTAACAACCTAAATAAAACCCTTCCTAACAACCTAAATAAAACCCTTCCTAACAACCTAAAACCTAAAAAAACCCTTCCTAACAACCTAAATAAAACCCTAAATAAAACCTAACAACCTAAATAAAACCCTAACAACCTAAATAAAACCCTAACAACCTAAATAAAACTCTTCCTAACAACCTAAATAAAACCCTTCCTAACAACCTAAATAAAACCCTTAAAACCCGAACAACCTAAATAAAACCCTAACAACCTAAATAAAACCCTTCCTAACAACCTAAATAAATAAAACCCTTCCTAACAACCTAAATAATACCCTTCCTAACAACCTAAATAAAATCCTTCCTAACAACCTAAATAAAACCCTTCCTAACAACCTAAATAAAACCCTTCCTAACAACCTAAATAAAACCCTTCCTAACAACCTAAATAAAACCCTTCCTAACAACCTAAATAAAACCCTTCCTAACAACCTAAATAAAACCCTTCCTAACAACCTAAATAAAACCCTTCCTAACAACCTAAATAAAACCCTTCCTAACAACCTAAATAAAACCCTAACAACCTAAATAAAACCCTAACAACCTAAATAAAACCCTAACAACCTAAATAAAACCCTAACAACCTAAATAAAACCCTAACAACCTAAATAAAACCCTTCCTAACAACCTAAATAAAACCCTAACCCTTCCTAACAACCTAAATAAAACCCTAAAACCTAAAAAAACCCTTCCTAACAACCTAAATAAAACCCTAACAACCTAAATAAAACCCTTCCTAACAACCTAAATAAAACCCTTCCTAACAACCTAAATAAAACCCTTCCTAACAACCTAAATAAAACCCTTCCTAACAACCTAAATAAAACCCTTCCTAACAACCTAAATAAAACCCTTCCTAACAACCTAAATAAAACCCTAACAACCTAAATAAAACCCTTCCTAACAACCTAAATAAAACCCTAACAACCTAAATAAAACCCTTCCTAACAACCTAAATAAAACCCTAAAAACTAAATAAAACCCTAACTAACTAAATAAAACCCTAACAACCTAAATAAAACCCTTCCTAACAACCTAAATAAAACCCTTCCTAACAACCTAAATAAAACCCTAACAACCTAAATAAAACCCTTCCTAACAACCTAAATAAAACCCTAACAACCTAAATAAAAACCTAACAACCTAAATAAAACCTAACAACCTAAATAAAAACCTAACAACCTAAATAAAACCCTTCCTAAACCTAAATAAAACCCTTCCTAACAACCTAAATAAAACCCTAACAAACTTAATAAAACCCTTCCTAACAACCTAAATAAACCCTAACCCTTTTGTAACAACCTAAATAAAACCCTAAATAAAACCCTAACAACCTAAATAAAACCCTAACAACCTAAATAAAACCCTAACAACCTAAATAAAACCCTTCCTAACAACCTAAATAAAACCCTAACAACCTAAATAAAACCCTAACAACCTAAATAAAACCCTTCCTAACAACCTAAATAAAACCCTAACAACCTAAATAAAACCCTTCCTAACAACGTAAATAAAACCCTTTTTTCCTTGAACAACCTAAATAAAACCTAAATCCTAACAACCTAAATAAAACCCTAACAACCTAAATAAAACCCTAACAACAACAACCTAAATAAAACCCTTCCTAACAACCTAATAAAACTTCCTGCAACCTAAATAAAACCTAAATAAGTTCCTAGAACCTAAAAAATCATGCACAATTCTAACAATTTGTATACATCTATTAAAAGACACATCAGTCTATCGAAATGCTACAAAAGTCGTATATTTTGTTTCTAGTTAAGTCTCGCCAACATGAAATCACTCTCTTTACAATGCATGAAGTAAACCCCACTTTTTTCCTTGAAATAATACAATAAAAAATAAGAGATCCCAGAAGCTTTTGGGTTCCCATCATAATATGCTGAAACTATTGATGCTGACCAGGTGAGAGACTACTATGACCAGGTGAGAGACTGCTGATGCTGACCAGGTGATAGACTGCTGATGCTGACCAGGTGAGAGACTGCTGATGCTGACCAGGTGAGAGACTGCTATGACCAGGTGAGAGACGGCTATGACCAGGTGATAGACTGCTGATGCTGACCAGGGGAGAGACTACTGATGCTGACCAGGTGATAGACTGCTGATGCTGACCAGGGGAGAGACTACTATGACCAGGTGAGAGACTACTGATTCTGACCAGGTGAGAAAATATGTATACTTACCAGATGAACAAACTTTCCGAATGGCCACAGGAAGTATCTAGCTAGCATCCAGCAGTAGACCCCTGATAAAATAAAATTCAGTGGTATAAGATGCCAGATCAAATGTTACAGTATATGTGAGTAGGAAACAAAGCAACATTTAGTACAGGGTCTGGATATATCATTATCATCATTGACTTTAATACATAAATACCTTGTCTATGTATTACTTCTAACAATATCTTCATCAAACAATAAATAAAAGGAAACATGACAAATTTTTCAGTTTTTCTTTTACTGAATCAGGTAAATACCTACCATAGTTCCAGCCCACGACAGAGAGAAACATAAGACAGCCTACTATTAGGTACAACAAAGCTAGCCACCATCCAAACAGCAACACATACAGCAAGTTAGATGGACGCAATGTTGAAACTGTAACAAAAGTTTTATCTCAAATAATGCATAATTTTTGTTTTTAAACTATGTTTTATTCAATGCCAAGCTGATATAAGTGTGACTTGTTTATGATAAGAAATTTAACTTAACCAAGAACAAAAACTTCATAGTTGTTTTTGTGTAGTGACGACTTAGATATGAAGGTCAAAGTACCTTCGTGTAAGGCCAAACAGAAAATCTAAGTTTCCTACAATGTGTCGAGAAAATTTAGGATTGGTAGGTAGAAAAAAACATGTACTTTTTACATGGTTTGTATAGAAGAGAGATCTTAACAATAAAAGTGATAGACACAAAGTTTTAAAGTACCCCGTAGGTAGGTCATTGGAAACAGAAAATAGTGTTTGTCTGGTCTAAAATGAGGTATCTAACTTATTTTGAAATCATGTACACTTTCGAAAAAAAGTCATTTGAAAGCAAACAGAAAGTAAGTTGAAAGCCTGAAGTGGGAAAATTCTGTTATGATTTTCTCATTTTAGCAATTTGTACATCATTGAAACAGCTTGGTCAAGGCTTGTTACAAACCTACTGCAAAGCAGACACAATTTCAGAATAAGCACAATAACACTTTAAATAAAGGACAAATCATTATTTAACTGAAATGAAAATAACTGCCAGAGTGTCCAAAGAAATTTTGAAGCATCAGGTTTGACAGATTATATAATCATCCAAGTGTTTGGGTCACACACTCTTAATCATCTGAAAATGTTTGACTACAATGACTACAAAATTTATTTAAATCTAGCAGTAAGAGTGTTTTCCATGTGTTATACGGAACATATATGTATAATAATGCTTTATTTAATCAGAATGTGGTTTTTGATTACATGCTTTTTTTACCATTTACTGGTTGGATCTTGTCAAAATCCTCGTACAGATTCTGTACGACCTCTGATCGTGAACTTAACGGTCTATCTGTCACATGTCCTTTCCATTTCTTAAATCCAAACTGTAACAAATATCAAATAATTATGACAAGTTTTATGATAAAAATGTCTAGAATTAAAGATTTTCTACTTCAATAAATCATCACTCAGTTAAAACACCCTTTTCATCATACGATTATAAAGTAGATATACATATGTAACATGCTTGTGTATTATACATGTAAGTATTAACAGAATCTTTCATCCCCTTGGAGGTGAAATAGGTTGATCTCAATCCAAGAGGACAGATGATTAAATTAGCAAACACAAGTTTGCCAAGTGTTAACAATATAAACATCTTTTCCCAAGGACTGAGATCACGCTATTTTACTAACAAGGGGGTGACTGATTATTTTTCCTGCTTTATTAGATACTCCTATGTAAATGTATTGTCCTATTGCTTCTTGTCATTGACGTGACTGAATTGTAGATATGACATCAGAGAATTGTTACTATGACATCATATCAATGTCTTCGTAGGGAAATCTTCTGGTTTTGTATTTATATAGACAATGCTTAAGTTTTATGATTTGTCAATTTGGCTCCTGTAATCAAGAAGATGAGAACTATAAATTGTTTATTACAATCATGCCTTTTTTCTATCTCACTTGCGTTGATTAAGTATTTCAACTGAAACACTACTCTTAGTTGATAACAGGCTTACAGGTGATGAAAAGATGTTGATTTTTTCAAATATTCAAAATCTCATCATCAAGAGATTTTAATGATTGCTTTTTGGTCCAATACATAGTTGTTACAGACCACATATATATATATATATATTTAAGCCATGACTTCAACAATTTTTCTCCCTTAGTCCTTCATTATCATCAGGGATAAATTTAGACAAAATACTTTCTGTAGTATAACTCAAGTGATATGTTTTCCAATCATATATATATGTCTAACCTCATCCTTGTCATATCTTATTCATGAATGTCATATAGTTTTACCCTGTCCCTGTTTTGAATTGTGACCAAAAGGGCTGTCTGAAATTCTTCTATTTCTCAAAAAATAACCCCAAATATTTTCCTTCTTCCTCAATGCGTAGTATTTCCCATATTCTAGATTAATCCATGCTTATTATGATGAAATATAGATTGTTCCCTAGAACTCACCAAGTAGTTATTACTAATCTTATGAGCCTCCACATCACTATCAATTCTCTGTATAAGGGAGTCCTCTAGTAAGTCTACAAAACTGCTGGAGGATTTCCGCTTTGGATCATCAATCAGTTCAGTGGTGTTAACGACATGGTTTTCAAGTCTACCTCGATTACGTAAAATCTGAAGGTCATTATCAGAAGAATTCTGTTCCTGTATCGGCTGAGACTGTGGAGTTGATTCTTTAGTAGAGCCATGATGTCCAGACAAGATGGTGGTGTCCATCTCCATTAGAAGATTTTTATATCATCACAATATTCTGCAAATTCAATCAGAACATATCACACTCAGACTGGTAACTTGTAAGAGTAACTCTGACTGGTAACTTGTAAGGGTATCTCAGACTGTCTCAGACTGGTAAGTTGTAAAGGTAACTCAGACTGGTAACTTGTAAGAGTTACTTCCCTTGGACCACTAATCATCATGTCCCTAATTCAACATTTATGACAAATACAACTTTCTGGAGTTAATTTCCTTAAGTTTGTTTTTGAATACACAACCTTGTTAAACCTCCTTGAAATGACTTAACCACATTTATAGGGCACAGACCAGCCACTGACCTGGCTCAGGACAAAGGCAGATAGGCTGCGGTCAAGCTAAGCAAAATAAGAGTTTTGGTCTTGATGGCTTCTTGTGATACATCATATTTTGATAAAATTATGAAATAAATCTCAAAACATTCAAAAAAAAGAAAAAAACATAAGGATTAACAACACAAAAGTGGTTTCATGATATCAGATGTCTGCAGGTTCACATCACTACTTACTTTGATTTAGATAATACTTGTAGTGTGAAATCTTTCATTTTTTTTATCCACAACTTGGCAAAAAAAAAAAAAACAGAACAGACTGTATGTGATACACACAAATGTACAGATACAGGATTTTGGTGAAGGGGCCTGGTGAGTGGGGTAAGGTGGTGAGGTAGTCATGTAATATATGCGTTTCGGAATTTCACATTATGATCTTTAAGTAACGTTTATAAATCAATACCTGCCAAATTCCTCACATATCTAAAGAACCTCAGGAAATTTTCATGGCCTATATTTCAAATATACCTACACTGTATGTAAGAAGAAATATCATAAAATGAATCTTTGTAGGTATGTATCATAAAACTATGAGGTGAAAGTCATATCATGGAATAAGGGACCCGGAATTTGTCAATAAACTTAAAAAAATTAAAATTTAACAACAAAAATCTCAATCAGGGCTCTCGATCTGCCAGATTTGGGGCCGAACATTCCCAATGCAAAATAGTATCTTTTTTCCCAATTTAGACCCCAAGTTTTCCCAATTCTAAGGAAACCGCTGCTATTTTTCCCCATTCTAAGGGCCACAGGCCCCAGTCCCAAAATGGGGTGTGAGAGCCCTGTCAATATATGTCATTTTACTGAGTATTGACCTAACAACTGCTCCATTCCAACACCCACCTAACACTAAATATCTAACAATGTTATGAACACATCGGGATAGAGCCATATACATGTAACCTGTTTTCGGGGTCCTGGTGAACCAGTGGACAGCCCAAGAATTAATTTTGTTTCATAGTTTCCATAAAAATATCAACAATATATGATAAAAGAATGGAATAAAAAATAAACTATATATACCGGTATAAAAGAGAAAAAAAAAATCTATTCATGACCCTATTGAGAATCGAACTCCTAAATTTAGTCCAGCAAAAATCAAACAAACAAAATGTACGATGACACCAGCCAAATGACATGTTATCAAAAGAATCACGCTGACATTAGCATCATGTTACAGACTATATATATGACTGTCAGAACACAAATAGTCCTCTCTGAATCCGTTGTATGATGTAGCTATATTGTACATGTACGAATACTGCAGTGTTCAACACCTGTTTAGCACCAGTTCAGGTGTTAGGCCTCGACCGATGTGTTCAAAATGTAAGATTTGTTTAAGTTTTCGGTGCTGACAAGCACGAAGATTCAATGAAATCTCTATAAACATGTATACGTTACCTGTGTGTGGTAAGACTTCCTCTAATCATTCCTTAAATCTGATATGTCTCTTGGAACAATCGTTATAGATCGTCACCCTATCACATTAAAGATACAATACCGTACTCACGTGAAGGTAAGGGAGATCACTCCAATAGCTAAAGAAAAGGAAAAGAATAAACAAATAGATAAACTTAATCAACGGTATTAATTTTCTATCTGCATATCAAGCTGTGAAATACTTTATAGAGTAAATGTAAACGGTTATGCTGGAAACATGAAACACGGGAATTTGTTGCAATATTATTTTGAATGACATCTGCTTGGAAAATAGTACGAAAAAAATATGTTCCTTTCTGAAAAAGGGCCAATGGGTAGGGATTTAACAAAATCATTGTTATTCTGTTTGCTTGCTTTTTTAAATTGACTTCTGAAGATCGCATAGTGAGTTGGGAATGTTGTGATTTATGCCCATGTGACAGGTTGAAATAATCTACGTGTATAAGATGTTTAGAATTCACAATCTGTCTGAACATCTATACACGTATCCGCCGTTTGTTTTTTTCACTTGTTTACAGGTTATCATTGTGCAGCAGATTCAGTTACTGTCACAAGTTATTAAGCAGACCATTAAATCACTCGAAAAAGATGTGTTTCAAGACATTAAAGTTAAAAAAAATCTACGGGCTCATTTTCACCTTTAAATCCAGTCCGACCAAAAATCAGATGTGAAGTTAAGTTCATTACATATGTCGTTTCAAAAGTGAATTTTAAAAAATACAGATAAGTGTGTTATCACGATACACGGTTTAAACCAATTTCTACCAGAGTTGTCATCCCACAATACACCTCTGTAACTGACGTGTTATTCGGGTACCGCAATGTACTCCGAGAGAGACTGTTTTAACTGGTGCCTTCTACAGAACATCCTGTCAGTTGTGTCATACGTCACATATTCCTGTGCAACAAAAAAGACCTGAATTGCTTCGTTCGAAAACTTACAAATGGCAAATTTATATGATGATAATAACACGAAGGTGAACTGGCCGTGTTCCAGAAGTAGCTGTGAAAAAGATTTTCTAATTTTCTAGTTTTGACGGATAAAATGGGTGGTCTGGAGTAGCAGTAGAGTGGGGTTGGGGTTGGGGGGGGGGGGGGGTTATACCAGGACAAGTTGTACCGGGACAAGTTGTACCCCCATGGCAGGTGGGGACATGGGTACCTGGTACCACATACCGATATACCGGGACAAGTTGTACCTCCAGGGCAGGTGGGGACAGATGTACCTGGTACCACATACCGATATACCAGGACAAGTTGTACCTCCAGGGCAAGTGGGGACAGGGGTACCTGGTGCCACATACCGATATACCGGGACAAGTTGTACCTCCAGGGCAGGTGGGGACAGATGTACCTGGTGCCACATACCGATATACCGGGACAAGTTGTACCTCCAGGGCAGGTGGGGACAGGGGTACCTGGTGCCACATACCGATATACCGGGACAAGTTGTACCTCCAGGGCAGGTGGGGACAGATGTACCTGGTACCACATACCGATATACCGGGACAAGTTGTACCTCCAGGGCAGGTGGGGACAGCGGTACCTGGTGCCACATACCGATATACCAGGACAAGTTGTACCTCCAGGGCAAGTGGGAACAGCGGTACCTGGTGCCACATACCGATATACCGGGACAAGTTGTACCTCCAGGCAGGTGGGGACATGGGTACCTGGTGCCACATACCGATATACCGGGACAAGTTGTACCTCCAGGGCAAGTGGGGACAGGGGTACCTGGTGCCACATACCGATATACCGGGACAAGTTGTACCCCCATGGCAGGTGGGGACATGGGTACTTGGTGCCACATACCGATATACCGGGACAAGTTGTACCCCCATGTCAGGTGGGGACATGGGTACCTGGTGCCACATACCGATATACCGGGACAAGTTGTACCTCCAGGGCAGGTGGGGACAGGGGTACCTGGTGCCACATACCGATATACCGGGACAAGTTGTACCTCCAGGTTGTACCTCCAGGGCAGGTGGGGACAGTTGTACCTGGTACCACATACCGATATACCGGGACAAGTTGTACCCCCATGGCAGGTGGGGACATGGGTACCTGGTGCCACATACCGATATACCGGGACAAGTTGTACCTCCAGGGCAGGTGGCGACAGATGTACCTGGTACCACATACCGATATACCGGGACAAGTTGTACCTCCAGGGCAGGTGGGGACAGATGTACCTGGTACCACATACCGATATACCAGGACAAGTTGTACCTCCAGGGCAAGTGGGGACAGGGGTACCTGGTGCCACATACCGATATACCGGGACAAGTTGTACCCCCATGGCAGGTGGGGACATGGGTACCTGGTGCCACATACCGATATACCGGGACAAGTTGTACCTCCAGGGCAAGTGGGGACAGGGGTACCTGGTGCCACATACCGATATACCGGGACAAGTTGTACCCCCATGGCAGGTGGGGACATGGGTACCTGGTGCCACATACCGATATACCGGGACAAGTTGTACCACCATGGCAGGTGGGGACATGGGTACCTGGTGCCACATACCGATATACCGGGACAAGTTGTACCCCCATGGCAGGTGGGGACATGGGTACCTGGTGCCACATACCGATATACCGGGACAAGTTGTACCGAGGTGGGGATACCTGGTGCCACATACCGATATACCGGGACAAGTTGTACCCCCATGGCAGGTGGGGACATGGGTACCTGGTGCCACATACCGATATACCGGGACAAGTTGTACCTCCATGGCAGGTGGGTACCACATACCGATATACCGAGACAAGTTGTACCTCCAGGGCAGGTGGGGACATGGGTACCTGGTGCCACATACCGATATACCGGGACAAGTTGTACCTCCAGGGCAGGTGGGGACAGATGTACCTGGTACCACATACCGATATACCGGGACAAGTTGTACCCCCATGGCAGGTGGGGACATGGGTACCTGGTGCCACATACCGATATACCGGGACAAGTTGTACCTCCAGGGCAGGTGGGGACAGATGTACCTGGTACCACATACCGATATACCGGGACAAGTTGTACCTCCAGGGCAAGTGGGGACAGGGGTACCTGGTGCCACATACCGATATACCGGGACAAGTTGTACCTCCAGGGCAGGTGGGGACATGGGTACCTGGTGCCACATACCGATATACCGGGACAAGTTGTACCTCCATGGCAGGTGGGGACATGGGTACCTGGTGCCACATACCG